TTACAGGCACGTGCCACCATGCCCAGCTAATTTTTGTATTTTTAGTAGAGACGGGGTTTCACCATGTTGACCAGGATGGTCTCGATCTCTTGACCTCGTGATCCACCCGCCTCGGCCTCCCAAAGTGCTGGGATTACAGGCGTGAGCCACCGCGCCCCGCCCCATAATTTTAAAATTTCTAATAATAAACTTTAAAAAGTAAAACTTTGGAGGTCTAATTAGTTTTAGTGATATACTTTATTTAGCCTCATCCATCCAAAGTATTATTTAACAATGTAACCAACATAAAATTATTCTTATTTTTGGAAGTGTTTGCTTTTTCTGGAATACTATGTCTTCAAAATCCATTGTTTGTTTTATACTGACAGCTCATCTGAATGAGGACTGGGTTTATTTCAAGTAAGCAGGAGCCACATGTGACTGGTGGCTGACATATTCACAGCACAGCTTGATAGCAGTTCAGTGTCACGATGGTTGAAATGAGCTAAATTGCCAAACCTACATATAAAACACCTGATAGAATTATAACCTTAATGTCATTTGATTTGTTTCCTTAGGATCAACAACTGATTTTTTTCACTTTGCTAATAGAAAAAGTATTATTATTAAATAGGTACTATGCGCATATGAGAAAACATTTCACAGCATTAAATGGTATGCAATATAAAAAGGAGTGTCCCTGGCCAGGCACGGTGGCTCATGCCTGTAATCCCAGCACTCTGGGAGGCCAGCGTGGGCGGATCACGAGATCAAGAGATACAGGCCATCCCGGCCAACATGGTGAAACCCGTCTCTACTAAAAGTACAAAAAATTAGCCGGGCGTGGTGGTGCGCGACTGTGGTCCGGGCTCCTCCGGAGGCTGAGGCGGGAGAATTGCTTGAAACCCGAAAACGGAAGCAGCAGTGAGCCGGGATCGCACCCCTGCACTCCAGCCTGGCGCTAGAGCGAGACTCTGCCTCAAATTAAAAAAAAAAAAAAAAAAAAAAAGAGCGTCCTTTCATTACATCTGCAAGCCCAGTCTCCTGAGGTAACCGCAATGCCGTATACATGCAGAATTTTTTCCACATGTATATGAGTTATGTATACCTTTTTAAAGTATCAATGAGAGCATAACTTACTTTTCATAGTCCTGATAAAACACCAACAAAAACTTCTCTATATGCATAAGATTATATAGGATATTTTCATGTGTCAATTCTTTTTTTTTTTTTTTTTTTAAGACGGAGTCTTGCTCTGTTGCCCAGGCTGGAATGCAATGGCGCAATGTCGGTTCACTGCAACCTCCGCCTCCCGAGTTCAAGCAATTCTCGTGCCTCAGCCTCCCGAGCAGCTGGGATTACAAGCATTTGCCACCATGTCTGGCTAATTGTTGGATTTTTTAATAGAGACAAGGTTTTACCACGTTAGCCAGGCCGGTCTCACACTCCGACCTCAGTTTATCCACCTGCCTCAGCCTCCCCAAGTGCTGGGAGTACAGGTGTGAGCCACTGCACCAGGCCCCAATCTATTCTTTCTAACTGCTTTTTTTCCCTGGCCTAGAGCTCCCTACCATTCCATTGAAATGAATTTCAGAACACACATAACATTATCACTAAGTCCAGTGGTCTTTTTTTTTTTTTTTTTTTTTTAAAAAGAGCTTCGCTCTCATTGCCTAGGCCACAGTGCAGTGGCACAATCTCGGCTCACTGCAACCTCCGCCTCCCGAGTTCAAGTGATTCTCCTGCCTCAGCTTCCAAAAGTGCTGGGATTATAGGCGTGAGCCACTGCACCTGGCCATGATTGTTCATTAGAACTTCTCTTCCATTATTTTATGGTATTTAAAGTTTTAAAAATTATTCCTTCTGCGTTGGAAAACTGCGGTTTACATAACACCATAACTTGTTTAGCTCTCCTCCCACTTCTCTATGGAATCATTTTTTTTCTTCTTTAAAAGCTTTTCTGCTTTTAATCTCCTAATTGTGGAAGTTCTTCAGGCTACTACATGAGCAATTAAGTGAACCTTTTAAATTGTCGCTGATAATCCATTATTTATAGCTTATCAACGTGTGTTCTACCGAGCGCTGTTCCCACAAGACGGCACTGAAAAACAATCAAGAACCACGACAAACATTTCTCCTTTGCCTACACATTCTATAGAGATCATAAAATCTTCTTTTTCCTGATCATACTTCCAGACGGAGTGAACATATGATATAATTCTGACCAACGAGGGATAAACTGAAGTCTGTTGACCCTTTGCTTTTCTTACTGCTTTTAACATGAACTCAAAGCAGGAACAGCAGTAGCCAATTTGCAATTTTTAAGGATGGGCTGGCTAAATTAACTGCAGGGACATCAGCCGCCATGCTGCGCTGAACATAGGTCAACAACTGCTTACCTCCTGAGTTCTCACTACAGAAGATGAATAAATCCTCATTGTAAGGCCAGCTGCCTCACCAGGAGACCGGACACACCCTCCTATTCTGCACCAGGCACCTAACTGTGCACCCAGCACCTATCTCTGCACTCGGCATCGGTCTCTGCTCCCGGCACTTGCCTCTGCACTCGGCACCTAGCTCTGCACACGATTCACCTGGAAGGCTCCGGCTGATGCAACCCTGGCCGGCTCTTTCACTAGAAAAACCCGCCCAAAAACCCACCAACCAATAGCGGCCCACCCCGTCCCAATCCCGCTCCCCTGGAGCCAATCAGAGCACCCAGCTGTTGCTCGTTACCCATAGCCACAAAAACCCCACAAAAACCCAGGAAGTCAGCCTTGACTTCTGTGGCCTTTTTCTCCCACCATAGCACCTCACCCAGGAGCTGAATAAATTGGCATACAATTTTCTTATACTGGCCTCAGTTTCCTCATTTTAAACTCAGCAATAACCCTTACACTTATTTGTTTGGACTTCCATAATTAGGCGATTTATACCTTGCAGCAGAACACACTCTTAACTAGATATAAAAATGCTACATGCTATGTGTCCTTAGAGCTTCAGAATGCACATTAGAAAATTAGAGGAACTGAGAAATTCTCAGAAGAACCCTGTTGAATTCTGTTGAATATATCAACTCCTGAATGTAGTTGATCAAGCAGCCCTTTTCTTCTTCCTGTACTAAACTACCGATATCTCATAGAATTATGGTTCTCCAGCTTTTTGCTTTTCAAAGTGTAATTCCTAGACCAGCAATATCTGCATCATCTAGAAACTTGTTAGAAAACCCTAATATTAGGCCCCACCCTGGAATCAATTACATTTTAGCAAGATCTTCAGTTGATTTGTATGACATTAAAGTCTGAGAAGTGCCGCTTGGGAAACACTGATTTAGAGAATAAAGTACGAACTATCCTTAATATGCTTATGTGGCATACAATTTCAAAGGCATCTATCATTACTATCCCTTAATGCCTACTTCACTAATCATGACACATCCCTAGAACCCGCGCGTTGGTAAGCTATAAACAATGGATCATCAGTAACAATTTTAAATATGGGCTTAATTGCTCAAGTAGTAGCCTGAAGAACTCACACAATTAGGAGATCAAAAGAAGAAAAGCTTTTAAAGGAGAAAAAAGTAGTTCTTATTTAATGCTTACTTTGTGCAAGGCATTATGCTAAGTGGTATGCTTTTATAATTCTCAAAGCAACTCTATGAGGCAGGTACTAGCATAATCGTTATCTAGCAGATAAGATAGCTAAGGTGCAGAGAAGTTAAGTTGCCTACTGAAGGTCACATAGCTATTAAGTGGCAGAATCCTTGGCTTAAGGACTTAAGGATCACTAAACTATATTGGCTCTCTAAACGTCTGTTCCCAAGCACTTCCCTGCTGTGTGTACTTTACACACATGGTTTCCTCTGCATGCAATATCTCCCCACATACATGTTGTTAAAAGGTCTCAGCTAAAAAGTCAGTTGTTCTGGGGAGCTCTTCTGATCCCCTATCCCCAAGCCAGGTCAGATCCTCCTGGTATACATTTCCCAGGGTCATATGTTTACTTCATACATATCAGCTTTTAAATTATGTACATTTTGTGATTCTATGATTAGTGTATATCTTTATCAAAAAACTAAGCTCATGTGGGCTTAACTATATCCTCTGTGCCTGGCATGTAGTTGGCACACAAATATTTTTTAGAGTATCTTTTTTTTTTATTTTCTGAGACGGAGTCTCACACTACTGGACAGGGTGGAGTGTAGTGGCACAATCTCGGCCCACTGCAACCTCTGCCTCCCGGCTTCAAGCAATTCTCCTGCCTCAGTCTCCTGAATAGCTGGGATTACAGGCTCACACCACCATGCCCAGCTAATTTTTGTATTTTTTGGAGAAACAGGGTTTCATTATTTTGGCCAGGCTGGTCTCAAACTCCTGGCCTCAAGAGATCCATGTGCCTCAGCCTCCCAGACTTCTGGGAATTACTGGCGTGAGCCACTGCACCCGGCCTTTTGGGGTATCTTTTACTCTCATTTGAAATGTTCTTTCCCTACTCTGCACCAATCCGAGTTCTATCCAGAACAAGCTATAGGATGGCGGCAAAACATTTGATTTAGCATCAGAAGACTTGGATTTGAGGCCTTATTCCCCTACTTGGTAACTTTGAGCAGTCACAAAAACTCAGACCCACTAATTCTCAGCTCTGCCAAATGGAGATGGTAATAACCTCACAGGATTGGCATAAGAATTAAAATGAGCCCTGTGAGAGATGTGTATCACCTACATACACATCCTAAAAATACGAGTAGCATTTCGTAGTGATTAAGATCCTGGGTTGTGCTTAAAAGTTTCCGCTCTGTAATCCAAAACCTGAGTTCAAATCCCAACTCAATATTTATTGTCTCTGCAGTTGATTCGGCAATCCATTCGTTGCTGGATTTTGTCATGTGTTTTGCCAATTGCATTCATAATTTATTATGCATTTATGCTTGTATCTCCTAAGTCATGGTATATAATCTATGCTCTGTGTGTTTTGTCTGACATAAGCTTTTATCAGAGCCTTTTGTACACAGGAATTCAATAAATGGTAACACAATTTACATTTATTTGTTGAATATTGCATGTCTGCCATACTGAAAGTACATTAAGTAACAAAGGCAAGTAAGAAGAATGAAAAACAGTACTCAACAACAGTTATCATAATTGCACATGGATATGCTCAGAATTACTGTTTTTCAAATCACTTTAAACAAAAGCTGAACTGCAGAAATAAAAGCCCAGCAGGAACGATTAAACTACATTTGCAATAAAATCATTTGGCCTAATTTTCATAACCACAGATTTCAGAGAATACCACCACCCATGCCAGGTGTACCAGACAATCCCATTGTCTGTTTTAGCCGTGTAGGGGCCGCTGTAGTAAAACCCATTCAGGTTTGCAGAGTGACACCTAGTGGAGGGGGGGAAAAGAAAACAACCATTAGACCAGAAAAATACTGTTCAGAAACTCTAATTTTGCTAGCAAATACTCAAAACTTTTGAACTATGAATTCTGCCATTTTTCAGACAAGTAAATACTTACTAGTTTTCAAAAGCTGAGAAATGTCTACAACAGATGAATATTTTATTTTATTTTATTTTTATTTTTGAGATGGAGTTTCACTCTTGTTACCCAGGCTGGAGTGCAATGGCATGATCTCGGCTCACCACAACCTCCGCCTCCCAGGTTCAAGCAATTCTCCTGCCTCAGCCTCCCAAGTAGCTGGGACTACAGGCATATGCCACCATGCCTGGCTAATTTTGTATTTCCAGTAGAGACGGGTTTTGTCCATGTTGGTCAGACTGGTCTTGAACTCCCGACCTCAGGTGATCAGCCTGCCTCGGCCTCCCAAAGTGCTAGGATGACAGGCATGAGCCACCGCACCCGCCCTTATTTTTTTTTAATAGACACAGGGTCTCTCTATTTTGCCCAGGCTGGTCTTGAACTCCTGAGCTCAAGCAATCCTCCTGCTTCGGCCTTCCAGAATGCTGGGATAACAGGTGTGAGCCACTGCACCTGGCCTCAGAGATGGTTATTTTAAACTGGTGAGTTTTACTGCCATAACAAATCTGAAAATAGAACCCAGGCCACTCACAGTGCATTGAAAAATAAGCATTTCAATTATTGACAGCCTTTAAACAAAAAATTAAAACAAGGAAACAAAAACACATCTCTTTAACCTCCAGCGTTACAACCTCCTGACTCAAAACAGTTAACCTAGTACTTAGCAAGAGCTAAGGTGAGTGTCAGCAAAGCAAGGCGTGGGGAAGGTGTTCTACTGCTGGCTTTCCTGGAAAATTTGCACTTACACATTCATTCATCTGCTGCTAAGACCTGGCTTTCATGATTCAAACTCCCTTCCTCCCCTTCTTTAAATTGCTAGCATATCAATTATTTTAATCTCAAGAGTAAGCAAATAAAACCTAAACCACCATTTAAAGTTTTCCCACCCATCAACCAATAATGACTTTTTCCCAGTTGTTGAGTTAATTTTTTACAGATATTGCACCAACCTAGATAAGCGAGTTAGGTTATCGACATTAAAAATGTTCCTTTCCTCCTTTGGAGTCTGCAGATTTTGTCCTTGATAGGTATAATTTACATATAAGAATATGTAATAAGTTTATATGTATTATGAAAATTACCATATTCTTTTTTATTGATATAATTAATGAAAAGATGTTAGAATTAGGAGAAAAGGAGAACATTCACAAGAGATAATTCTGAACATCTATGGAAAAACCCAAATTATTGAATCAAGAAAGCACATAATCTACCCATAAGGCCTAATGGCTGGCTTGAATCACTTATCAGCTTAATGATCACTCCTAGTGAGCATTCTCAAAGTTCTCCCAATTTAAATGGATGTATTAGTTGAAAATATGTATGTTACATCTGCATATGTCAAAGCCTACTGTGTTTTTAAAACAGCATGGAAAGTAATGTTAAAAAAGAAAATATGGGCCAGGTGCAGTGGCTCACGCCTGTAATCCCAGCACTTTGGGAGGCTGAGGCGGGCGTATCATGAGGTCAAGAGATTGAGACCATCCTGGCCAACATGGTGAAACCCCGTCTCTACTAAAAATATAAAAATTAGCTGGGCGTGGTGGCATGTGCCTGTGGTCCCAGCTACTCGGGAGGCTGAGGTGGAAGAATCGCTTGAACCCAGGAGGTGGAGGTTGCAGTGAGCCGAGATTGTGCCACTGCACTCCAGCCTGGTGACAGAGCAAGACTCCATCTCAAAAAAAAAAAAAAAAAGAAAAAGAAAATATGGTAAATTGAGTCTCCAGAATGTATATTTTTGCATATATTTGTCTGTCTGGAGACACTTGCTAACTGTATTTTTGTATTTGGTCTATGATTTGAATCCCAGGGAAAACTGACTCTGTGGTCAACATAAGAAACCTTCACTATTCTGAGACCAATTTTCCAGCATCCTTTAGTTTTTAGAACAGCCTGGATGTGAAACTAGGTTGAGGGATGATTGGGGTTCCCTTGGTGAAGAAGTGGCTGGGAGCACTCACACAAGATGCTATGCTAAAGAACAAAAGACATCCACATCCAGTGATTGGTTTGCTATGTGGAAAAACATCTTATAGGTGGGTAATATTTATGAGTGCCAACATTTCATGTAAATTAGAAGAACTATGGGACAGAAAAACAGCAAGAGTGAAAAGGAGGAAAAGATGATAGTCAAACTACACTAATTGTAGGCATGGTAGAAGCAGCACCAAGTGGGCTGGGCACAGTGGCTCACACCTGTAATCCCAACACTTTGGGAGGCTGAGGCAGGTGGATATACTGAAGTCAGGAGTTCAAGACCAGCCTGGCCAACATGGTGAAACACTGTCTCTACTAAAAATACAAAAATTAGGCATGGTGGTACACACCTGTAGTCCCAGCAGCTACTTAGGAGTCTGAGGCAGAAAAATTGCTTGAAACCGGAAGGCGGAGGTTACAGTGAGCCAAGATCACACCACTGCAGTCCAGCATGGGCAAAAGAGCTAGCACCAAGTTTCTAGAACAATCTACTTTCTCTCCTTTAATGCCTATTGATTTTTCAACTGCACAGTTTATCAGCTCCTTTGATTCCAAGGATAGCGTAGGCTACTTGGGTGGCTCCAGCTAATGAATTGCCTTTCTTTGTTCTCCCTGAACCCATATCTTTAAAGTCAGGTAAATCATTCCTTTGCCCACATTAATATGAATGGTAGTTTTCATTCAGATGTCTTAGAAGCCAGTCAGCTGGATAAAGTACATGGTTTTGATCTCATGATACTATTAGTAATTATTTCTGCATATAGAATTCTTTTCAAAATCAAACATTGTTGATGCTCGCAGACAACTTCATGAATTACAGGTAAGTTTTATGTCATGCTAACTTAGAAGAACAAGGGGGAAAGAAAGGAGTAGGAACAGGTGAAGAAAATGGTTTTCAAAATAACAGGAAAACTACTAGGGAAAAGACTATCATCACCTTCAAAAGAGAGAGAACTTTGTTTCTCCCCTTCACACTGCTGGAAATACTCCAGCACCCTCACGAATCATTAAATATTAAATGGACTCAAATGCTTTTTTTTTTAAAGCAAAATACAGGGAAAAAATGACTGCAGAAAACAGTCTGTACAGTGAGTACAACTGCAGTAGTACCCTTTATCTGCAGGGGATACATTCCAAGACCCTTTAGTGGATGCGTTGAAACTACAGATAATACCAAATTCTGTATATCCATACTACGTTTTTTCAGTCTGATAACTGAAACAGCTACAAAGTGACTAACGAGCAGATAACGAAAATAAAATTTACCAAAATGAAGGACATGATATAGATTGAAAAGAACCACTGAGTACCCTCTGTAGTAAACGAAAAGAAGACCATGGCAATGTATTTCACTATAAAATGACAGAACTCTAAGGGGGAAATCAATAGGGAATAGGAAGGAAAAAAACGATTTACAGTAGTTCATTCTGTTTTTTCCTATAATATACATACCTATGATAAAGTTAGTTTCTAAATTAGGCACAGTAAGAGATTAACAACAACTAATAACAAAATATTATGATTGTATAAAAATATGTCAGCTTTACAGCTCTTGTGCTTTGGGATCCTTATTAAGTCAAATAAGGATGATTTGAACACAAGCACTGTGAAACCACAACACTGGATCTGATAACTAAGACTGCTACTAAGTGTCACAAGGGCAGGGAGCGCTTTCAGCCTGAAGACGCCGGACAAAGGGATGACCCACCTCCTGTGCAGAAGGAAGCCAGAATGACATGCAATTTAAAACATATGAATTAGGCCGGGTGCGGTGGCTTCTTATTAGAATTCTAATAAGAATGATTACTTAATAATACTAATATTATAAATAAAGATCAACATGACCTCATAAATTATATTAATAATTAATGTCTGCCGGGCGTAGTGGCTCACTCCTGTAATTCCACACTTTGGGAGGCCGAGGTAGGTAGGTCATGAGGTCCTGTGTTTGAGATCAGCCTGGCCAACATAGCGAAACCCCATCTCTACTAAAAATACAAAACTTGTCCGGGTGTGGTAATGCGCGCCTGCAGTTCCAGCGACTCAGGAGACTGAGGTAGGAGAATCGCTTTAACCCAGGAGGCAGAGGTTTAGGTGAGCTGAGATCGTGCCATTGCACTCCAGCCTGGGCAACAGAGCAAGACTCTGTCTCAAATAATAATAATAATTGATGATGATAATAATAATAATAAATGCCTATCAGTGAGCTATCAATTCCATTACGACTATGTTCATAAGACATCAAACCTGTTAAACCACCAGCCACCCTGATCTTCTTCTGCACAGTTCCCTTCGTAGTTGTCATGATCTCTGTCCCACGTGCTGAATTTCATTCTTTGGTGACTAGCCCACCACTCCACCTCAGGGTGAAAATTCCCCGCAAGGGAATCTCCAGCTGTTCCAGAATATTCCCCAATATTCAACTCATAGAAATCCTAAAGAAAAAGAACAATTTCTACTATCAGTGGAGTTCCTCTATGACCATTTTAAAATCAAGTTTATTTAATAAACAAAAGAAGAGGCTCTACTGTATATTTTTATTTCCACTGACTTCAGGGTTATATTGCATATTTTAAGCATTAATTCATGGTTTTACTTAACAGAAAATTGTAGTACCTTTTCATCTCCAACTTTGAAGTTCTTATATTGTGCGTAACGGCTGTTTCTTTCAAAATCTTCAAGGTCGATTTTTAAAGTGTAGTCTTCTAAAAAAACCCAAGAAATTATAATTTTAAAAAAATGTGTGACATGACATGGACTACTGTGGTTTAAAAATAATTCACTGCTCTATTTTACTTTTACCATTTCCTTTGGCCAAGAATCAGTTTTCAAAGATTGAACAGTGACTCCACTGTATTTATAACATGAACATTTTATTGTGTAATTTATTTGAAAAAAAAGATGGATGCAATATTAAATGTAAAAAATTTCTACTAGCTCTGTCACAGGTAAAAGCTAGTGCAATTCACTTAATAATGAACAACAGAAAAAAACAAGTTGTTACTTAAAGTAATCTAACAATGAAAACATCGACTTTTTTGTTTGGTTGGTTGTTTTTTTTTTTTTTTTTTTTTTTTTTGAGACGGAGTTTCACTCATGTTACCCAGGCTGGAGTGCAATGGCGCGATCTCGGCTCACCGCAACCACCGCCTCCTGGGTTCAGGCAATTCTCCTGCCTCAGCCTCCTGAGTAGCTGGGATTACAGGCATGCACCACCATGCCCAGCTAATTTTTTTTTTGTATTTTTAGTA